GGAATCAACAGGGCGGAGCAAGCAGCTATGGCTGCTCCTCAGTCCTACCCTAAGAGGCCCCGCATCTCAGTGTCCCGGTAATGGCTGCAAGAACCTCTGAGAAAAAGCCACCCTCGAGTTCCAACCGAAGCCAGACAGTCCAGTTTCTCCCCATATGAGTCTGGGTCCTCAGAGACTCGCCCCGAACTGGAGTTCAGAGCAGTCGGGAGCTTGAGACTCCCTCCCGATTGAAAAAGACAACCGCGTCCTCAGTTGCCAGCCCTTTCCACGTGCACCTCCGTACCTCTGCACTTTACTTCCGCACTTCCTCTGAGTCTCAGTGTGCTTTTCTCTTTCCTTCTAGTTGTAGAATTTCCACTCAGCCAGCCTTCCTGTGGTTCTGGATGATGTCCGTTTTGTCTTTTAGTTGTATTTTTGAAGTGGTTGTGCGAGGCAGCAATTTCTGGTGTTTACCTATGCCACCATCTTGGTTTCTCTCTATATATATCTTTATTGATTTCAGAGAGGAAGGGAGAGGGAGAGGGAGATAGAAACATCAATGATGAGAGAGAATCATTGATCAGCTGCCTCCTGCACACCCCCTAGTGGGGATCGAGCCTGCAACCCAGGCATGTGCCCTAACTGGGAATCGAATCGTAGCCTCCTGGTTCACAGGTCGACACTCACCACTGAGCCACATCGACTGAGCAAACATATGATTTTTAATCTCATCTATAAAGTCCCTGAGAATGTCAGTAATGAAATGTGTATTTGCCTTTGTGGGACTTACAGCGGAATCTCAGATTTCTTCAGATCCTGCTGCTAGGGCTAGGAATTCTTCCATATCTTAGAGTTGAAGAAGAAAACAGTGTTATCATTAACACTCTCCTTCCTGTTTGCTACCCCTCCACACCTGGTGGAGGAAGAGCCTGGACATAGTTCTCCACCGTACTCATGTTCTCAGAGATCTGAATCATGCCTGGTCCTCAGAAAGCCACATTTTCGTCGTAATGGTCATTCAAAAAAGTCTCCCCCTCAGCCCTAACCGGTTTGGCTCAGTGGATAGAGTGTCGGCCTGCAGACTGAAAGGTCCCAGGTTCGATTCCAGTCAAGGGCATGTACTGTGGTTGCGGCACGTCCCCAGTAGGGGGTGTGCAGGAGGCGGCTGATCGATGTTTCTTTCTCATTGATGTTTCTGACTCTCTGTCCCTCTCCCTTCCTCTCTGTAAAAAATCAATAAAATATCTTTAAAAAAAAAAAGTCTCCCCCCACTCAACAGAGCTCTACTTCCAAGTACCTTGAGTATCAGGAGGAATGTGTGAATTTTCATTGTGCATTTGTGTTTTCTTTATAGGATAAAAATGCAGAGGAAGAGATGAAAAAGTAAGCATTGCCTTGAAGAAGTAAATAAAAAACTTACTCTTCAACAAATTAGATGTGGTCTACTAAATATTAAACTTATCAAAGTTGTGTTTTTTATTATCCTCTTTTTATGTAAGGGTAATATACTCAGATTTGAAGGGAAAGTCATGTTTCTGTAGAATGCATTCTCTAGTAGAACAACACCAATCATGTTATTTGGAGAAGTCTGTTTCCTATAATATCAGTACAAAATGATCTTTAAAAAATGTATGCTTTATATTTTTCCTATCAACAAACTGTAGTCTTCAGAATCTTTATTTAAATCTTTCTTTAAATAAAATACTTAAATCAATCCAATAAAATGGGCTCCGGTGAGTGTTTTATTGTTGCTTCGATGGAAACTTTACAAAACAAAATAATTTCATTAATGTGGATGAAAAATGGAAAAGTGGGCAAAGGATGTGAACTAGTCATTGGTAAAAGAGGAAATATAGCCCAGCCGGCGTGGCTCAGTGGTTGAGCATCGACCTATGAACCAGAAGGTCACAGTAGGTTACTGCTCAAAGCACATGCCTGGGTTGCAAGCTCAGTTCCCAATAGGAGGCGTGCAGGAGGCAGCCAATCAATGACTCTCTCTCATCATTGATGTTTCTACCTCTCTCTCCCTCTCCTTTCCTCTCTCTGAAGTCTATAAAAACATATTTTTTTAACCAAAGTTTCAGATGAAAAATGAACCCTGCTTTATCTTCATATTAAACTAATTTTTCCAAGTGTTACCACATCTCCTATTTCAATGAAAGCTTTGTACATGCGGAGATAGGTTAAGAAAGTGATGCCGTCCTCGTTTTCCCACTGGACCAAAGGCTAGATTTGCTGGAGGTCACATACCTAGGGAATGAGAATAGGAACTCGACCCAGCGTCCTGGCTCCCCGCCTGGGCCTGTACAGCGAGCAAGGAAGGGTCAGAGCCATACAATCAATCTTAAACCATTTAAGATTTAATGGCCGTAGGAACTGTTTCCTTTGTTGCCATTTGCCTTAAAAAAAGTGCTTAAGGCAGCTAAAAAAGATAGCCTTCTAAAAACAAAGACAGACTTGTTGAAATTTGTGTCACTGTTAACCTCGCCAAGAACGTACTAATATTTCCCACAGTGGGGGGGAAATGGTTCATTGGAGGGAAAACAGTAATTTAAGATGGGCTTTGGATGGGAGCTTGGTGTCCATATAAGATAAATTCATGGGGTTCGCCTGGAAAGGAGCCCTGTTCCACTTAGGGGACCATTTACTTCATCTGGCTGTGGGAATTTCCCCTCAAGATGTTGCTCAGTCATACTTTGTTTCCCTTTTCATTTTGATGCAATTATGTGAATTTTCACTCTTCCATAACTATAATTTACATTTCACAGCATACTTAGTTGAGATTGTGATCTACCTCACAGTTTCAGATGCCCCCCATCAGGACTGTTGCATTTGGCTCTCTGAGTTGACCACAGAAATTTGGGGGTGAGGGAAAAGTTTGTGTGATTTTCCCAAACTCAGCTCTGTATTACCAACACCCCGTTTCTTTACAGAGGCCAGCTTGGAAGTTAATAGCTGCATGTTCCCCCGACCTCCCATGTTGGTCTCAGGCTGGTCATGCTCTCAGCTCCCAGGATGCACAGGGTCGGTGAGGAATGCTCTTCTTTTTTTTTAATTTTTAAATTGAATCTGTTGGGGTGACATCTATAATAATAAAAGCATTGTATGCTAATTAGACCGGACGTCCTTCCAGACGACCTTCTGGACGAAGCCGGGGCTGCAAGGGAAACCCAGGTCCCAAATGCCAGAGGGAAGCTGGTGCCAGCAGCCAGGGGAAGGAAGGCCTACTCTTGCACAAATTTTATGCATTGGCCTCTAGTTAGTTAATAAGATTATATAGGTTTGAGGTATACAATTCTACAATACATCATCTGTATATTGTATTGTGTTCACCACCCCAAGTTGAGTCTCCTTCCATCACTATTTATGCCCCCTTTATCCTCTTCTACCTCCCCCTACCCTCCCTTTCCCTCTGGTAATCACCATACTGTGTCTATGCCCATGAGCTTTTTTTTTTTTTTTTTTTTTTGCTAAATCCCTTCACCTTTCTCACCAAGCTCCCAAACCCCTCTGACAACTATTGTCTGTTCTCTGTGACCATGATTTGTCTCCACAGGAATGCTCTTTTGAACGTAGTGAGCTAGATCCCCAACTCTAGTTTCTTGTTCAAGAGAGAAGCCAGTGATGAAAAGAATCAGTCAACCAAGCAGACTGACTGGCCTCGGTCCTGGAACAGCATTTTCCCAGGTCTGGGGAGGAGCTGCTCACGACTCCATCACCCACAGTGAGTGCTCTATTTCCCAACAACTTGATCCTGTGGACTGTTCCCTAGAAGGGGTGTCTCCTCCTTTTTGCATCAGCTTTATTGAGATAGAAATTACATCTAACAAAATGCACCCATTTAAAGTGTACAGTTTGGTGAGTTAACACAAATTTATGCCGCAGTGTAAACCCTACCACAGTCAAGATATAAAATATGTGCATCATTCCAGAAAGTTCCCTTGTGTCCCTTTCCACTCAGTCTCCCACCTGCACCCCAGTGTGCTTTCTGACAGGTCTGCTTTCTGTCACTGTAGTTTAATTTTTTTTTAGAATTCTATGTAAATGGTATTCTTTCGCAGAGCACAGTTTTGAGATTCATCTGTGTTATTGGATATATCAATAGTTCATCCCAGATAAAAGACTTAAACGTAAGATGGGAAACCATAAAAATACTAGAGGAATCCATAGGCAGCGAAATAGCAAACATATGTTGAAGGAATTTCTTCTCTGATAATGCTCCTAGGGCAATGGAAATTAAAGAGAAAATAAACAAATGGGACTACATTAAAATAAAAAGCTTTTGCACAGCAAAGGAAACCATCAACAAAACAACAAGACCCACGGCATGGGAGGACATATTTGCCAATGATATCACCGATAAGGGTTTAATCTCCAACATTTACAAGGAACTCATGAAACTTAATAATCCTATCTAATAAAAGAGAAAGATGCAAATTGACCGTGGCCCTGAACGCTTCCCATTGGCTAATCAGGGAGATATGCAAATTAACTGCCAACCAAGATGGCGGCCGGCAGCCAGGCACTGAAGCGAACAGGAGGCTTGCTTGCTCCAGTGACGGAGGAAGCCAAGGTTCCCCGCCTGCTGCTGCCGGCCTCTGAGCTGCAACTCTAAGAAACATTGTTGCAAATATAGAAGGTAAACATTCCCCCAGAAACCTGCTTTCAGCCAGCCGGGCTTCAACCAGCAGGATCGCAACAGTGTTACAAGTATAAAACCCAAACAAACCCAGATCCCTGCTTTCAGCAGCGGAGGTCTCATAGCTGGAGCCAAGCCTCAGAGCCAAAACCGGCTCTCAGCTCCAGTGACAGCCATAGAAGGTAAATAAATCCCAGAATAAGAAAAAAAGGAGAGGTTAGGAGCCTCAGTTGCCCGCCAGCCTGAAAA